GGTTATGGTGGAATCCTCCTTCAGAGAGAATCTCCTAATTCTCCTGAACAAATTGTTCGATTCCATTCTGGTATTTGGAATAAAACTCAAAAGAATTATTCCACTATTAAAAAAGAGATTTTATCTATTGTCCTGTGTATCTCTAAATTCCAAGATGATATATTAAATCAGAAATTCCTTGTGCGGGTTGACTGTAAATCAGCCAAGGATGTTTTAACCAAAGATGTCAAAAATATAGCTGCTAAGCAAATTTTTGCTAGATGGCAATCTATTTTAAGTATTTTCGATTTTGATATAGAATATATCAAAGGAGAATATAATTATATTCCTGATTTCCTAACCAGAGAATTTTTGCAGGAACCTCATGGAAGACAGGAAACCTAGTTCATCCGGAACCTCCTCCAAAAATACGGGGGGAAAGAAAGATAAACAAAAACAACCCAAATCTGAACCTGACTTGCCAGTAGCCTTGTCAAACAGATTTTTATCATTGGAAACTACTCAGCCCAAAAGGCCAGTAGCCCAATCTGCCTTGGTTATTCGGCCCGTAGCCGTATCAACCACTGTCAATCCACTAACCTTTACCCAAATGGCCCAACAGCCACCTGTCAGGACCACTAGTGCCATGACAAACCCTTATAAGGCCTCACAACCCTTTGCAGCCCAATTAGGCCCAAAGGTTGATTATATCAAAGCCTATTCCTAGAATGTTCTAGCCATTGAACTAGCCCATTCTAAATATAAGGATCTAAAAGACCTTGTAAAGGCCTACCTTCCAAAAGGTTGGACCTACATTCCAGTAGACTTGGAAAAACCCCATAGTTTTTACCAAGATATTCTCTACTACACCAAATCTATCCATACCAAGCCCATCCTTGATAAGATTAACCCAAATAAGGTTCTCTATCATAGTTTGGTCATAACCAAGATTATTTCTGTTGAGGAATGGGGTTCTCATCCTTCTTTGCTCAGAGAACTTCCCTTTCATACCAGACATTTTAATTACTATGACTACATTGAGTCATGGTCAAAAATATTACTCTACCAGAATGAGGATTTGTCCTATTCCTGGTTCTTGAATTTTCATAAAGATTTCAAAAGCCATATTCCTGCATGGTTTAAACAGTGGTGGCATCAACATGGTCCCATTGATGAAATCTTTCCAGCTGATCTCAAAGATCAGATCAATATCTTCTACTCCTCTTACCGTCCTAGTAAACAGGAGTCCCCATTTCCCTTATTACTAATGTTTATTTGCAGGTACAAAGTCCCCTGGATACTCAAATGGCAATGGGAAATTGTTGGATTTAATCTAACCCGACAATTTTATGCCAAGTGGTGGCCCAGGTTTCAGCATAGTGACATTATTGCCATGGTGAAACAAGACTTCCCTGTAAGGGTTCCAACTCCAGTAGTAGTTCCAGGCCCCTTACAACCAGCAACACCAGTGAAGGAATTGCCCGCTCAATCAAGTCAGGCTAGCCTTCCTATAGCACAGACCAGACCAGAAGAATCTTCATCTAAAGGTTCTAAAGGCTCCAGCAAGAAGTCCAAAGCAAAACTCCTCAAGAAGCTCTTGGATCAACTTGACTCAGACAGTGACTCATCGTCTTCCCAAGGATCTTTCACAACAAATCTTCCTCCAGGATATGCTCAGGATCCGTATGAAGGGATGGAATACTTTGATGTTGATGATCTTACTCCTGACCTTGCATTCCCGTGAATTATGGTTTACATAAAGTGGCTTCAATCACTACTTTCTTCAAAAAGAAAGAAAAGCTGTCCACTCTGTGTAAAAATAATATCACAAGTCTGCATAGAATCCTCTTTCCCTAAAAGCAGGATTCTCACAGACAAAGGCAGGACCCATAAATCTGCTTTTCCACCGAAAGATGGATTCTCAGGACAGACAGACAGGACCCACTAGTCCCTTCAAAATGTCTTAGTTACCCGGGTAAAAGAATCTTACTCCACTTTTCCGCCGAAAGCAAGAAAGTGAATTTACTTTACCCTGAGTAAAAGAGAAAGGCAGAATGATTGCACAAGGAGAATCCGGAGTCTCTTACCTCTATATAAGGCAGCTCCCTCTCCTCAGAAGAACTCAAGTTTTTGAAAACTTCAGACACTCTCTCTAGTCTTAGTTTCAAAAATACATTATAAGCCACTAATACTTGTAAATCTACCCCTCTCTTGTAAAGCCTTCTTCAATGATAAAGAAGAGCTCAGAATCCTTTTTGTTTACTACTTATTCCCACTAAACCTTTAGTTCTAGTGTTGTAAGTATTTATTTTCTTGTTGAAATATTTTGTATTTATCAGTTTTTTCCATTTCAATCTATTCCGCATACATGTCTATTTTGGTATCAGAGCCATTTGACGGCCTGGTGTATTATCTCTAAAATTTCATTTGAGTCATCTAACTCACTTTGAAATCTTTATCAGTTTCATCTTTCAAATTCATTTGTAAGTAGATCTTACCCTATCACCCAACCTTAATCCAGACACTCAAGAGCACGTAAGCCTTTTCTTGTCCCAAGTGTAAGTCCTAGAGTTGGCAGAAAGGGATCTTAGGCGAGAAGTTGAGAGAATTTGGAGCCAGATTAGGGGGTATGTATAGTGTGGTCATACTTACATATAAATTTAAAATTTGATAACAATTCAGATTTTAAAATGAGTAGATTATTCAGATCTAATTCTAGGGCTAGTACATCTAGATCTTCAGATTATTCTATGCCACATAGAGTAAATGAGGAAGAATTAGAAATAGAAGAAGCTAAAACAGACTGGAATATTCCTCCAGTTAAAAAATGGAATACCATTTTTTAGTAACTCTGTGATTTCTTTTTTACAAATCTCAGTAGTTTCATGGTTCATTTGGATTGGTCTAGACTTAGTGGGAATATTGTCTTCCTTAAATCCTTTGACATAAGGAAGTCTAACCATGTGTTTCTTCCTATGCCAGAATGCTGTAGGAAGGGAGGAACAAACTTCTGATTCTAGTTTTTCCCTAAACCTATCAATCTTTTGTTATAAGATTGGGTTGGTTAGGTGTTTTTTAGTTCTGAGGTGGTTAATCTCTTGTTTAAGAAATTCCACTTGTTTAATTTTTCTGTTTATAACATTAAGAGACTGTGAGACAGAAACGTCTTTTAGTTGTCTTAAATGTTTCTCTCTGGTTTAGTGATAAATGTAAATACAATTTTTCTCTCAAAATGCCTGGTTGATATTTCATCTGTATTTGTACTAAAAGGGTACAAAAGACATATAAATGGAAGACCAAGTATAACAGAGTCAGTCATGTCTTTAACAAGTAAGAATGATGTTTCAAAACATACATCTTGTTGACATACATGAACTCTTGGAAGTTTGTATTTAACATTCATTTTACTGCCATTAGCAGAACTAATTCTTTCTAATGTTTTTTCATAAAACATAGTTGGAATTAATCCTTCTTGGATGCAGTTTACATCTGCTCCGGTGTCTAATAAGGCAATAACAGTAATATGATAACTGTTGTTAATGATTAATTTTACTTCAACATGCCATTTTTGGACAGTCAAAGAGTTAATCAGACTAATTCTCTTGTCATCATTGCTATAACTTCCTTGTGGGAATGAGGACAGGTTCGTTAAACCAGAATTTTCCACTATGGTGGAGGTTACGGGTATCCCCTGCGTATCGCTGTGATGATCAAAAGGATTAGTAAAATCTTCAGTCTGATTTTCACTATCAGAATCCTGGGATTTTTCAGAATGTTTTTCTGTTTGTAAAAGAGTTAAAGTTTCAGCAAATTTTTTGTCTTGAGCTTTTAAATCTTTTATTTCTAGTTTAAGCTTATTAACTTCACTCTGAAGATCTTGTAAGGTGATTTCTTTTTTCTTTTCCTTACTAAATCTTTCCATAGTTTTGTTAAGGCTTATCAATGGTTTTTCTATAATAGGTTGCTTATTATCTTTTTTACTGAAAAGGTTTCTAAGCTGTTTTACATACTTATCTTTTAGATCTGGATCTTCTATTTTGGAGATCAAGTCTATAAGTATGTGTTCTTCATTTTGTTTAGTGATTACCCTGACTTGTTTTTGACAAGAGCATCCTATTTTAATTCTAGGTTTATCAGGGTGATCAGAGGCTGAATAATAATCTGAAGAGTCTGAGGTGTCTAGTGGACTGTTTGATTCTTCAGAACTTTCCAAATTATTTATCCTAAAGATTTCAAGGATTCTGTCCTCATCATCTTGGGATAAATTTAATCTTTTGACACTTTTTTTAACTGGACAATCAGGACTAGTGTGGCCTGGTTTTCCACAGTTAAAACATTTGATATTATCTTGGACTTTCCCCTTTCCTTTTTTATCTGTCCTATTGGATCTAAAATGTCTTCTAGGTTTTCTTGAAGATTCAGGTTTAGATCTTTTGGCAGTTTTGTGGTGAGGGAAAAATCTTTGGTAAGATTTATTTTTAGAATAAGGCTTATGTGATTTGGATTTTTTGTGTTTCTTATGGGAAGGAGCTAATGGCTGTAACCCATATTGTTCACAAAAATTACCTAATTCATATTTAGCCTTATGTTTTTCATTTGTTAATTGCTTATTGATTCTTAAATCGACACACCATTTTAATCCTACATTTTGGATGGTGCTAATGAGTCCACCATAACCAACATCAGAGGCATCAGTCTGAATGATTTTAAAAGAATCAACGGACGGAATACCAAGACAGGGAAGAGTTTTTATGAACTTCTTGACCTGTTGAACAATAGAAGTATGAACAGTGGTCCAAGGAGAAGGATTTCCTTTGAGCATGTCATACAGAGGTTTGATGGTTTTCCTAAGATCCTGATAAAAGTCAGAAACATAATTTAGGGAACCTAAAAACCTTTGTAATTGGGTTTTGTCTAGGATTTCATCAATGGGACCATGTTTATATATATATATATATCTTATTAGTCTGTGACTTAACAGTGTTTGAGAAAACCCTAAATAATCAATTGTCAACTGCTGGTTATCGCCCATGGTGGACTGGTGGTTCAGCAATTTTAGCTTCAATAATGCCAATTTTTCCTGGAACACACAGCAGATATGCTAATGAGGACTGGATAATTCCCAGACCAAATGCTACTCCTAGAAGAACCAAAATACCTGACTTCCTCAAAAAAAAACAACCACAATATAGATGTTTGATTATTATGCAATAAACAAATTACCGCTTAGCTTTAGAAGAGTGAATGTAGTTGCAGCAATGAAGAAGACCATGGAGATTGCAACCCAGAAGTGCTGACACAAAAAATTAACAATTCCAGGTCATCAAGAGTCACGGCATGTCAACATGTGATTATATGTATCCAAAAATCATCAAATGTTTTTATATTGATTAAAAAAATTAATAGGAGTCAACAGATATCAAAATTTACAACAACACTGCATATACCAAAGGAATTAAAAAACAAGGAAACATGCTTTTGCATACTTTTATACTTCTCATCTGTGTAGTGATCACATAAGATACCTTATGGCAAAGAGGTTCTTCTAGGTTACCCTCCATTGGTCTGGGGTCTAACAAAACTGAAGAACTCCAAAACATTGAAACTTCTCTTCTAGCAACATTTTCATACATTCTAATTCCCATAGTTATTGCTCCAGACATCAGACAGCTTTTCAAATTCTAAACATGCATGGGAGAAGCAGGTCTTGATTATCTCTAAGCAAAATAATAGAAATATACAGGATGGCCAATACATCCTGTTTCATGGTTCAATATTAATTGAATAGAAGTAATGAAGTGAGATGATTCAAATCATTCAAATCGTGACTTATGGCCAGAAAGGACATCAATAAGAAAGCAGATTCCTTTTTCTAAAAACCATCAGAAAATACATAATTAGATTTAACACACCCCCTCTAACGAAATCATAGAAATCTTATTTCCCCAATAGGCATGAAACTACTTTTAGTCAGGCATAAAATTATCATAATTTATATTGCACCCCACTCAACAAAACTTATTGTCAACTCCACATGGTTGGCTAAATTGATCTTCTCTCATCAATCTCAATCCAGATTTCCCTGAATCAAAGTGTTAAAAAGAGAGCTAGCTTATCTAGTTGTCCATTGAGACATTGTTCTTTCCTTAAATAACATTGCCCTGGGGACACGGTATGGTTGCCCTAGGACACCTTTTTTTCTTTTCTTTCTCTTTTTAGGGACTTTATCGCTGAAAACTTACCCATGAAAATAAGGAAAAAAGGGGTTAGTCATGGATTATAGCCAAGAGTGAAGATTCTCCACTTTGCAAACTTTTGACTTTGTCTCCAAATATTTGTTATACAATGCATTTGCATTCAAATCTGAAAAAAGACAATGTGTTCAAATAGAAGACAACTAGCTTATATAAGACCATCATCCTTGTTACCCTTTTCCTGTATAAAACCAACTCAAAAGTCCAGATCAAAATGTTTTTTTTTGGTTTAAGTTTCTATGCATGCTAGCATTAGCAATTTAAGCTCATACCTAGAAGCATGTCCAACAGTCCAAGACTTGAATAGCACATTGCAGTAGACTAGAAAAATAAATATTCTAACATCTTTAGGGATTTAAGAGCAATACTCTGATGATAAAATTAGACTTACAGGAAGTGTCTCCCATATCGCTTCATCACTCATGGTATCTTCATCCCCAGGCATTAGAGCCCTACACATCCTAAACAAGTGACATACACTGGTTACTAAGGCCAAATCACACTTTACCAACATAAACCGGTACTTGCATGATGCAACCTAGGAAATTACTGCACCTCAATAGTAAAGAGATGCCTTAGTGAATGCCATTCATGCCTTGCATCAATATTATTACTTCAACACACAGATTCATAATTTTATAAATTTAGTAGGTTTCATAACCTCAATCAGCATCAATCTAATGGAGAAAAGAAACCTTACCTGACGTTATCAATCAAGATTGCTGTTTCAAATGCCAGTAAAGGCAAAAATACAATCTTCAAGTTTACAGCTGTCATATATAACAGTTCACAAACAAAATACATCAATAAGCATGAAGAAGATTATGATAGGCAGTTAAAGAAGTCTAGTGAGGCATATAGCATAGGATAACGGCAGTCAACGTAAGGAAAATTAAAGTAACATTCTTAGCATAGCATGAAATATAGAGGAAAAGAATTAATATATCCAATGTACCCATATAAACAACACTAGAAACAAGTCAATAAAAATGCAAGATTGTTCCTAATAATATCCAATATGATAGCGTTATTAAGGGTGTCATCTGTGTACCATAGTTGTCCTCGAGATATATGCAGAGGAGTAGTTCAAAAGCAACAAGCAATGGTGTGGCCATGATGGCATGACATGGTGCCCACTGTCCATGAAAGCATGTATAATTTTTTGCCATTAATGTAGCTTATGGAAATAAATTTTGCAATTTCACAAGAATGACATTGGAAATTGTCATGTAACTATTGTATCATACATGCCGATCAAGAGGTCTTGACGGAGCAGGTAAGGAGAATCTTCCGCGTGCTACAACCACATGAAATGACCAAAGGGGGGCAAAAACGACCCTGCAAAAGGAACCCAAGGAAGACTTGTTCAACATTTGAAAAACAAGGGCTTTGAATGCTAAAATATTACATAGTCAGGACATTGTGTGCATTGACAAGCAAAAATCAAGTAATAACATGGACCAATTTGCATATATAGCTATGGATGAGTTCTACCCGAAAATTGCTTATACATGATGCTATGAAACACAACCACTCTCAAGAAAGTGACATATTTGCAAACACCAACACTCCACAAAAATGTGTCCGATACTCTTTTATCCGTATCCATATTTAAATAATAAAATTTTAGTTTTGGACACATGTCCGACACTTCTTTGGTGACATGTCCAATGCTTTTTTAGGCCATATCTATTACTAAACAAAAAACATTTGTTGACATGTAATTAACAAAGTTTAAAAATTTGATTAATAAGTATTTTATACTATGAAAAAACATATAATTATCAAGACTAGACATGTTGAAAATTTACTCAAAATGTAATAAAAGCAAATGGTGTATAAGAGTTTTAATAAAATGGAATTAAGAAAATGAAAGCAATGATTTAATTATATACGTTGGGTATTGTCTATAAAAAAAATTGATGATTATTGACTATTATGATACTTTGGACTAAAACATCAAACTAGAAGCTATACATAATACTGAACTATCATAAAGTACTGAGTTTTTTTTATGAAAAATGTATTATTATAACTATATTTGCGAGAAATTATACATATTGAAAATACAATTATCTATAGTGTCACAAACATGTACGTGCCTTACATTTTTTGGAAATATCGTGTTTCCGTGTCCTATATTCGTGTTCGTGCTTCTTATGTCTGAAGCTGTCTTGCATGGACTGACATGAACTTTATTTTCTGCTCATATCCAACACCTAATCAATACCTAACCCTAAGAGACAATAGCTATATAACACCTACAAGTTCTTGTTAATCAATATGTGTTTACTACAAAAAATTCTTATTTGTATTGTTCTTTTTATCCGCTAGAATATATTATTCCACGTGGGGGTTGATAATTTGGCAAGAATATACCGATAGAAAAATGATTTAATTAAAAGCACTACATATAAGTCGGCATCAGATCAATTCCCTTATGCAAAACCAAAATCTGAGAATAAACTATTTACCAATTTCAACGAACACACATAAAAAACCTCTTTCTTAGCTTCGAGAAACTTTTTGACCGCTTTGTTATGTTATATCCACTTATGTTTAACAAGATGAACCAACAAATTTTCACATTTCTCTTCTATGGAGCTTACTTGGCGAACAAACCAGCCCAAAATCCACTCTTACTTCATTTGGAGAAAGATCTTTAACACAAGACCCCATAGATAACAAATCACTAGCCTAAAGCAATCAGTTAGGTGATAATCTTGCCAATCTATATATATATAGGGAAAGGCTTTGATAAGCCTTCCCTCCTTACTTTCAAATTTATAAGAATTTTGAATTATTAAATTCGATTTCAAAAAGTTCCTCCAATCGTATTTTAACATGTGTCCCTTATAACCATTGATCTCTTGTCCCACTAACTACCAACTATCTATTTAAACTCATCTAAAAAACTACTTTTACTAATATTTTTCAATAATTCTTTATCTACCTTTTCAAGTGTAGGAGTGAGAGGCAGAAAAGGCTGAGCAAGGAAAAGAAAAAAGAAGAGGTTGCTAGTTCAGATTATGGCATTGTAGATGATGGTTTCTACAAAAGAGAAAGGCAATTACGAAAACAAATACAGTGGTGACAAGACTTGAGAAATATAGTTATAGCCCACTTGGGTCTCTCTGTTTATGGTAAAATTGTTTCATCACCAGGAGTGTTCCAGGGGCACAACTATGAATTCATTCGTTGAATTTTTTCTCTCTCAAAATCGATTGAACAATCATACATCCTTATTTGTTGTAACAAATTAGATATGTACAAATTCATTGAACATAAAAAAGGATTGCAAGCCGATTTTATAGGAAGTATCCAAGTAAAACAATAAAAAAAAAAGACTAATTACAACGCTTCACAAAAATGTGAGGCTAATTACATTTATTTACAATTGAACAAGCCAAATTTTCATATTTTTTGAAAGCATTGCATAATAATAAAATGTTATTCAGGATCTCGTTTACAATAAATATAATCAAGCTACCAATTTTCCATCAATCATCCATTCAGTATCGCAATTGATTTTCCACAATCTATAATTTTACAATCTATTTGATAAACTATCTTCCAAATACTATTATTAAGATATCAAATAGCAAAGCTATTGAACCAAAATTCAAGAAATAAGCATATCAAAACCATTGAGACCCATGTGAAAAACAGCAATCTACATTAGCCAAAAAATAGAGGCCAATCGTAAATTGCAGAAAACTTTAACACAACAAGAAGTAAAAAATACATAGTTACCGGTGACATTCAAGGAAAAACTCAATTGAAGCATGAAAATGATAGGGTGGGAACAATTAATATATTTGATTAAATTTGAAATATAAGTATATATTTTTAACGGCATTTTACCCCCTTATGGTATACCCATTTTGCACATTAGCTCCCTAATATTTAAAAATAGTCACATAACCCTTTCGTGGTTTGTGGACTAAAATGCATGGCTACAATTTCCATCTAATTAACAGAATGTGTAATACACTCACCTAATTTGAGAGTGGATATGGTAATGATTTTTTAAAGATAGAAATACCCTTCTATAATCTTTGGAATTACAAGAATACCAACTAAATCAATTATCTTCTCTCTCACCAATTCACTTACCGTCCATCCCCTGATTCTGTCTTTTCATATTTGCTTCACGTGTCTCTTTGTTTCTCTCATCCTATCTCACTTCCCTACTCTCTTTCAATTCCAGTTGGTTGTGGACCAATGTATGGGACACGAAATTGTTTCTTGAGGTATAATTATGGTGGCAATGGCATTGCAATGGTGGCTCAGATGCCGACTATGATGTTTGGTGCAATCTTTTGTTTTTTTTTTCAATGGAGATTGTGATTGCGAAGAATAAAATGATTTCACAACTGCACCCATCATAAACTACATTTCAGTAATAATCACAAAATATTGCAAAAAAACATTTTTACCCTATTCTTCAATTGACCGTGTAGCAATCAAATGATTCAAAACTCACTCACTTATTATGGGTAAAGATTAGATTAACGGAACAAAATTCAAATTTCACTAGAATTAATAAACTGAAAGAACAACAAAAAAGGATAGGGATGCGAAAACAGGATGAAATTCACGAACCACCAAGGATGAGGAAAGGATCGATCGAGCTTGAGAACGAGCAATAGCGTGAACGAGAAGACCAATCCGTGGGCCACCACAGCCTGCAGAGACTTCCCCACTCTTCTCCAACTCATCACTCTCCCGTGCGTCAACATTTACCTGCCAAAATTTCACACACAAACACACTCTCTCACACCCACCCCGACCCTAACAACGTCATATACAAACAGAGCTTTGCTCTCTCTCTCTCTCTCTCTCTCTCTCTCTCTTTAAGGACTTCGCTTTCACGCAAACGTCGCTTTCTTTTTTTATTTGGTAAATTTCAAAGTACGAAATTACCCATGGACTTTTTGGAAATAATGACAGGAAAGGTCAGTATACTATGGGTGGTATGGTCAGTTCATATTAATCCGTAAGGAATCCGGTGCAACCGTGCGTTTATGGACATGGATTATGGTTCCTTCTTAACATTTTGTATTTCTTTTATTGTTATTGAGACATAATTTAAGGACATAATGAGTTGTTACCAATGAAATGATAGTAAAATGTATTTAATGATGAGTCTCATTATAGAATTAATGAATTCATTATCATATTATTAGTGACAATTCATTATATCCTCAAATTATGTTCATAAATTATGTCTCAATATCATTGCTCTTCTTTTATCGTTAATAAAAAAAGATATCAATCACGTATCTTTAAATTTAATTACAACAAAACTCTCGGTGTATATAATTTTTCTTAAATTATTTTCATTAGATTTGATGGAATTCAAAATAAATAACTCTCGATTAGATCTGTCAATGAATTGAGTTTGAATTAGATTTTGACTTATTCGAATTTGAATCCAATTCGATAAATCTGACAAAATTTATTTTTGTGATCTATATTTGAATCTGTTAATAATCTAAAATTCGACTGATGAGACACTTCTAAGAAAGAAACGGATGGTCAACACATGTCCTTAGCATTGAGGGTACATTTTTGTTCTAACAAGGACCTCGGCACCGAGGGCACGTCTTTTGTCCTTGGTGGAGACACATGTCCTTTGCTCTGATGGCGAGTTACTCTTCTGCAAGTGCTTATGCTCGGCGCTGAAGTGTTCCTCCTCCCTATGACAAACACGCGTCTTCGGCTCCAAGGGTACCTCCATTCCAAAGGAAAGCTGCGTGCCCTTGGCCCTCGAGTGTGCTCACTAAAGCTTTGATCTGGCCACATGTCCTCGGGATTTGGAGAGGCTACTAATTGATAATTAAACAGTCTAAATTAGACTAAGAATCATGAGGTTGTTCTGCACAATGAAGTCAGAAATGACATAATGAACTGGACACTCAACCAGAGAGAGTCAGACGTGTGGCTTAAAAGTGCAAGATAAGGGGTACATAGACGAAAATACCCTTGCTGATTTACGACTATCTCAGACAGGCATTTAATGAATCCTCAATGATATGACATCTGCAATAGGTTGGGAAGTCGAGGATATGGAGTATTAAATGTCCTAGGCTCCTAACATTTAAAGTCTTGGCATCGAATAAAGAGCATTAAATGCTTAGGAGTCCGAGTAATTAATACTAGGGCATCCCTCATACAAAATAGGAGGCACACTGTCCCATTTCTGGACACTACCTACTGACTAAACCATTTGTGATGATTGGTCTTTGGAAGTATAAATAATCCTTAAAAACACTTTATAAAAGTACGCAAAATCACCCCTCAAGAGTAACACAATGCTTTATTTTTTCTATTTTTTCAAATAACTGACTTGATCATTGAAGAAGATACGTCGAAAAACACTCTGACACCTTTCTAACTTGTTTTTCTGTATGCTAGGAGCATCTTGCAACCCACCGGAACTGATTGGACAGCCATTGGACAATTTATCACCACTCCTTAGGCTTCCTTTGACCTTTTCAACTCATTTCTTGATGCGGGATTCACTACCTTCTCGACGAATATGATTTTATCAGACAAGAGCTTTGTTTCCATTTCATCTATAATGCGAAAATTATCGCATACACCGATATAAAAATCTGATCAAATCTAAATAACTTAATTAATTATATTTTAACAATTATATCTAAATTTTTTTAATATTTATATAAAAATTTGAATTAGATCATAATCAAAACACAATTATATACGTAAATAAAAAATGTAAATATTTATGGTAGTCGAATTGAAGAGTTCAAGTTACACTTGAGCGTAAAATTTTATAATTTTAGTTAATTCCGAATTAATTTTCAATCCTTTTAACCCGTCCGTATATCACTCATCATAATTTTGGAGACCGACAGATCTTGTGGATGTGGTCCCACGACGTATGCCTGAAACTAGGAGTGGTCATACCAGTGTCCATACCTTAATAGCGAAACACTGTATATTCTCCCTATTGATTGATATTATATGACCAACACCCGGATGAGTTATATGTGGTCCCCACAGGATAAGTGGATAACGATTTTATCCATTTGCCACTAAACTTAGATAATTTACCTGCATTATTTTTTTAGGTAAATTTCACAAATACTCTTTGGATTTAAGTCATATTTCATTGACACCTTCTCTAATTTTTGAAATATTATTGCATATCCTTGTCAATTTTTGTGCCCTATAGAATATGCAAATTAATACAAAATTAATCTATAATTTTATTAAATTAACATCAAATTGATATTTAAATTTATTTAATTAATATTTAATTATATTAAATTAACATTAACTTTTGTCAAATTAACATTCACATTCATCAAATTAGTATTCAATTCATCTAATTAATATTTAATTTTATTAAACTAATACTAAATTACTATTCAATTTGATTTAATTAATATTATTTTTTAAAATTAACATTTTGTTTGATATATATATTTTTATAGGAAACATTCTATTTAATCCAATTAACATTTAATTTAAATAAATTAATATTAAAATGATTGTTATTACTACTTTAAACATTTTTTATATGGCCAAGAGTAAATTTGACAATTTATAAGAGAATAAACCATCATATCATACTAGAGGTAATTTGTAAAACATGTATACAAATTATAGAGGTAAGCAGTGATATTTCAAAAATCAAAAGAGGTGTTAGTGAAATATGACTTAAATTCAGTGGATGTCCGTAAAATTTACCCTATTTTTTTTTAACCAAACCTATATTAAATTACAATAATTAAAAAAAGAGCATATAATTTTTATTTAAAATATTATAAATTCTATAAAAAAAATGAAATAATGAAATTCTCCCTTGTCAAGCTCGTCCTTCTATTCTCGACCGAAGGAGAGCTTCAATTCCTTCCACCCTCGATATTGAATCTACCGACAATTAAGTCACAACCGAAATTAAGGAGATAAGAATTCAATTGATTTGACTTTTATCTATAAAAGTCTTGTTAGCGGAGAAGGCTACGCCACATTCATAGGAATTTTTGGTATTATATCAAAAATTTTAAATTATAATATTAATGATATGTTTATTAAATTTATGACATATTTACACCGGTTGGTATTAAAATGACAAGACAAGACATATTTTTGAGCCGCCGTTAAGTTAATTGAAGGCAAAATTGTAACATTAATGAGAAGTTTACGACTATAGTGAACAAAATTATAACATTAGTGAAAATTTTACAACAGTAGTGAATAAAATTACAAAATTTGTGGGAATATTTATCAAATTTGTGGGAATATTTACAACTTCAGTGATATATTTACTAAATTTGTGGGAATATTTACAACTTTAGTGGTATATTTACCAAATTTGTGAAAATCTTTACAACTTCAATGGATTCAAATATTTATAACTTCATGGGGAGATTTAATCGATCGTGGGGAGATTTGATCGATCATGGAGATATATTTGATTGATCATGGGGAGATTTGATCGATCGTGAGGAGATTTGATCAATAAACACTTGTATGTGCTTATTTTATGAATATTTTGTAACTAATCCTAGAAGATATATAACTTCAATGGATCAATTACCATTTTTATGGGAATATTTACAACTTCAATAGATTCTTTATTGGAATATTTATAATTTCATAGGGAGATTTACAACTTCAGTGGTATATTTATCAAATTTGTGAAAATATTTATAACTTCAATGGTATGTTTATCAAATTTGTAGAAATCTTTACAACTTCAATGAATTCAAATATTTACAACTTCATTGGGGAGATTTGATCGATCACAAACTTATTATTTTTTAAAAAAAATTGTGAGAGACTACTTCAACCTTGCGATAGATCACAAGATTTTAGGATAGATCGCAAATATTTTAGAGATAAAAAAATAATAATAATTTCGATATATTCCAAATAATAATTTTTATATATTCTAAAAAATAATAATAAATTTAAAAAAAATTTAAAATTAATTTTTTATTAAACTTATTTTTGATAGATCAATTACACATATTTTATTTACCACTTTTATGAGAATATTTATAATTTGAAAGGATTATTTATGGGAATAATTACAACCTCAGTGGTATGTGTTACTAAATTTATTTGTTTAATTGATCTATCAAAAATATGTTTAATAAAAATTCAATTTTAATTTTTTTTAAAAAAAAAATTAAAATTGAATTTTTATTAAACATATTTTAAAATTGAATTTTGCAAAATCGATCAAATTGTTGTTTGATCTATCAAATTCTTGTGATAGCTTATAAGCATTCATAAATTTTTTTTCACTATTGTTGTAAATTTGTCCACTATTGTTGTAAAATTTTTCACTAATATTGTAATTTGTACCACTATTATGGTAATTTTTCCACTATTCTTATAAATTTTTCATTAATGTTATAACAGAACAATCATAAAGAGAGAGAGACAGAAAGTCCATAATCGATCAAACATATATTTGATCGATTATGGACTAGTAATGAATCTATTGAAGTTGTAAAGATTTTCACAAATTTGGTAAACATACTACTGAAAATGTAAATATTTCCATAAATTTGGTAAATATTCCCACAAATTTTGTAATTTTATTCACTACTGTTGTAAAATTTCTACTAATGTTATAATTTTGTTCACTATAGTCGTAAACTTCCTACTATTGTTGTAATTTTGCCCTCAATTGACTTAATGGCAACAAGAGAGAGAGAGAGACAGAAAGTCCATGATCGATCAAACATATATTTGATCGATTATGAACTAGTAATGAATCTATTGAAGTTGTAAAAATTTTCACAAAT